TGGATGATTGGCTTTCTCTTTGTGGTTAGCTTTCTCGGGCTCTTCTCTGTGGTTCCCCTTCGAAAGGTATATTATTAAACTCAGCAACACTTTTGTTACTATTTATGAGAGTTCGCTTAAGTGCCTTTAAGTTCAAATAGCTTAATTGTGTTTCCAAAATACATGCCAATGTATTCCTATTGCATCATGTCTACGTTGGTGCAACTTAGATAATCAAACATACACTTGCAAAGAGATAGGCCCATAATTAGATGGGACGGTCCAATTTGACCCACTGGTAAAAGAAAAACCCAAATAGTGAAAAGGTCATAAATAAATAAATAAAGTGGAAATTACAGGAATCAGATCCAAAGTTTGTTAAATCAAAAATCAGAACTTTTATTAATTAATATATTATTATTGGATAAATATATTATTAAATTAAATTAATTTATAAATCAACCCTACCCCCTCCACCACCCCACGTTATTTTCCTCAAACCGTCTCTCTCTCTCTCTCTACCTCTCCTCACTCTCGTCTCTCGTCGATCTCCCCTCTCTCGTCGCCTTTGCGTCGTCACCACCGTATGCCCAACACCGGCAATCGTCGCGACAGGTGCATCACCTGTGATCCGTTGGTGCGATCTGGACTAGTGATGTGGTATGATCATTTAGTGGTGCGATGGGAATCACTCTCATCGGTGGCGACAAGGCGCAATGGTGCATTGCTGAGGCAGACTCACAACTGATAAGGTAGGTTTTATGTCGTGTCGGCGTGATGGTATTGTGAAGGGGAAAGTGTTGCTGTTGGTGGCCATTATTGATTGGAGCAGCCGATGTTGGTGGCGATTGTTGATTGCTGTTGATGAGGAATAGGTGTGGAGGTGTCGGTGAGAGCAGTATGGCGTGGTTTGGGGTTTCAAGAGGTTTGCTAGATAGTTAAGGTTTGGGCCGCTCTAAGGATGTGGTGGTGGATCTAACGGTTGGGTGGTTTTGTTGGATCTGGTGTTAGATTTGGTGGTGGATCTGTCGATTGTGGATCTGGCGGCGACGATGGTGGTGGATCTGACGGTTCGATGGTGATTGTTCATTGTTGGTGTGTTTGGTGGTGATGGTTTTTGGTGGCGGTGAGGTGGAGGTGGAGGTGATTGTTGGTGGTGGTGGTGTCGTCTGCCACCATGTGAGGGTGGCCGCAAGTGGCGGTGGAGACATTGGAGGGGGTGGTGGTACGTGACCCATTAGTTGACCTGTGACCAATTATTTAACTGACCCTTAAAATTTGATAATTTGTGACATTAAAATTCGAACTGTGACTCACAATTGATTAAATTGTGATCGAAAAATTAATCTATGATCTATAAAAAAAATTATTTGTGACCGAGAAATAAGTTGTAATCAATAATTTGATAATACGTGACCAATTAAATAAACTGACCTATAAAATTTTTGATTTTTTTATTTGTAACCGATAAACAAATTGTGACCTATAAAATTTTTGAACTGTGACAGTAAAATGATTTGTAACGTATAAAAATTATGATCTGTGATCGAAAAATAATACGTGACTTACTAAATTGTGAATATGTGACCATATTGTCGGAATCGGAGCAGTCGCCGGAATAAAGCGGCGACGGAACTGTCACCAAAATAGTTGTCGGAACGGTCGCCGGAGCATTCCTTGGAGAAGCGATAAGGGGTGGTGGATGTATGTATATATGTATGTATGTATATGTTAAATATCTGATTTTAGAAATTTAAAAGTTGTTTTCTTATTTTTGAAATAGTATATAGTAAAAGTCTTATAAATGAATTTTTCCTATGAATAAAATTTGTATGGAACATAGTTATAAATCAATGACCCGGGAACATGCCCGGGCCGGGTAAATTAATTTAATAAGATGCTTTGATCGAGTTAACCAGCAGTTTTGACCGAATTAACCCGGCCAGTTTACCAGTTTTCAAAATTTCCTTTTAAAATTTCAAGGTCCACCTTGGACTTCCAAGTAAAAAAATTTGTTCCTCCGAGTTGCAAAGTACTTCAATATTTTTTTGTACAATAAGTTACATGTATCCAATGAATCATATATATATTTTCTAAAAGTATTTTTATAAAAACTTTGGTCAAACATTTTACTTTATTTTATAGATCTAAATAATTAGTGAAAAATAATTTTAAAAAATATAATTTTGCCTAAAAAATTTTTTATACTTTAATTTTTTATTATAGATTTTTATGCAATGACCCATCGGTCCGACCATTGACCCACCAGTTCAGCCAGTAACTCGAGACCCAATACTTTGTTCGGGTTGATGTCCGAGTCGGGTCTAATGACTATGGTGTGGAATGCACGTGAATCGTGACTTTTGAATGGATTCGTTCAATCCAAATTCGCAAAGATGGGGACTTATAGATCAAAAAAAAATGAATAGGGACTCATCCTATAAAGTTCTTGAGGTCTTTTAAGTATGAAAGCTTAGACCGCAGATGAGATGGTGGAGACTGGAAATTCTTCTGTCTTGTGGATGCTCAAAAATCGTAAACTGCATGCATCAATTAAACCTGTTTAGACGATATCTTAACTTTGACTTGTACAAATGTTTGGAATTGAGAAAAGTAATTCTAAATTGTTTCAAAATTTGCTTCAATTTGAGCTGAATGATTTTTCCTTATCATTGCAATGTAATATATCATGCTAGAATCTTTATTTGTATATTACTGCATGATTTAGATAATGATCATCGACTTCAAACTGACTTATCCAAGTGGAACGGCAACTGCTCACCTAATCAATAGCTTCCACACTCCCCAAGGAGCCAAACTAGCAAAGTGAGTCTCTATAGTTCTTTGATAAACTTCCTTTTATCGATCTTGATGTGGTCAAATTGGAATCTCATCTTCTTCTTGTTGCTTCACTTCAGAAAACAAGTCAGAACTCTTGGAAAATTCTTCTCTTTCAGCTTCCTGTGGGGATTCTTCCAGTGGTTTTTCACTGCAGGAGATGGCTGTGGATTCGTAAACTTTCCCACATTGGGTCTTAAAGCCTACGAGAACAGGTGAGTGATGAAAATATTTCTCAAATGTAAAAAATTATATTATCTATCTATATGTTCGTGTAATAGAGTAGAAAAGATTTTGATAAGAAGAATTTAACCTTTTATTTTTATTATTAACCCTTTCATTCTTTTGTTAATTCAAAAACCAGGTTTTACTTCGATTTCTCAGCAACATACGTTGGAGTTGGCATGATATGCCCATATCTGATCAACGTGTCTTTGCTAGTCGGAGCAATCCTCTCTTGGGGTATAATGTGGCCACTCATAGGAGACAGGAAGGGTGATTGGTACTCTGCAGAATATAGCTCTAGCAGCCTTCATGGTTTGCAAGGCTACAGGGTACATTTCCTTAATTTCTTTAATTTAAGACAACAATTACAAGTTTTGACCATCTAACCATTGATTCGTTTCAATTTATAGGTTTTCATTGCAATAGCCATGATCCTTGGTGATGGCCTCTACAACTTCTTTAAGGTCCTTGGTCACACTATATTTGGGCTCTATCACCAAGTCCGAGATAAAAATTCTCGCTCAGTCCTCCCAGTTGGTGGCCATTCCTCTCCTACAGATTCTTTGTCTTATGATGACCAGCGCCGAACCCAACTTTTTCTCAAAGACCAAATCCCTATATGGGTCGCTGTTGTTGGATACGTCAGTATTGCAATAATCTCTGCTGCAACACTTCCACACATCTTTCCCCCACTCAAGTGGTATTACATTGTCGTTATATACATTTTTGCACCCACACTAGCCTTCTGTAATGCGTATGGGTGTGGGCTCACTGACTGGTCATTAGCATCTACTTATGGAAAGCTAGCTATCTTTGTTATTGGTGCATGGGCTGGAGCCTCCCATGGCGGTGTTCTTGCAGGACTAGCTGCATGTGGCGTCATGATGAATATTGTCTCGACTGCATCTGACCTAACGCAGGACTTCAAGACTGGTTATATGACCTTGGCTTCCCCACGGTCCATGTTCGTGAGCCAGATTATTGGAACAGCAATGGGATGTGTAATTTCACCATGTGTATTCTGGCTCTTCTACAAGGCGTTTCATGATTTGGGTGTCCCTGGTTCACAGTATTCTGCACCTTATGCTCTTGTGTACCGTAACATGGCAATCTTGGGAGTTGAGGGGTTCGGTTCTTTGCCAAAGAACTGCATTACTCTATGCTACGTGTTCTTTATTGTAGCCGTCGTTATTAATGGAATAAGAGACATCGTGGGAAAGAAGTGGGCTAAATTTATTCCTCTTCCCATGGCAATGGCTATACCATTTTATCTTGGAGCATATTTTACTATTGATATGTGCATTGGAAGTTTGATACTGTTTATTTGGGAGAAGATTGACAAGGCAAAGGCTGATGCGTTTGGTCCAGCTGTGGCTTCTGGATTGATCTGTGGCGACGGGATATGGACATTGCCTAGTTCAATATTAGCCTTGGCAGGTGTAAATCCACCCATTTGCATGAAATTTCTGTCGAGGAAATCAAATGCAAAGGTTGATGCTTTCTTAACTTAGCTCCGATATCGAGTTCAGCAGCTATAAGCCTGGAACTGGATTTCATCAATTTCCACGTGCTTCTTGTCATTTCATTCCTGTTTTCCTTATATAGCAAGTCTGCTTCTGCCACTGATATTACTAAAATGTTCAACTATCGTGAAAATATAAGGTGTGCAAATTTCTTGCCAATTAAGTGCATGGAATCTGAGGGAAATCTATATCTTGTGATCCTGAAAACATAGAATAATTCCATTTCTCAGTCTCATTCTCAGTTCAAATGTCCTTGCACGTTTTCCCTTTTCGTTGTGAAATTTGACTCGGAAATATGTATGTAGTCCCAAGTTTCTATGCGAAAAGTAAACGAAGATTCTACAAGAATTATTTTCTATTTAACTTTGGTGTTTTTGCTATATATCTACACTAAATTCAAGTATAATCTCAATGGCAATGCATAATTGTTGCTTCTTATGCCTCAATCAACTCTCTAATAGGCCTCTTGTTCACATTCTCTGAAGGAATATCAGTAAACTCAGAGAGGATAGACCTGAACTCCTCTCCCGAAAGTGTTTCCCTCTCCAGCAGCACCTCCACTAATTTATCAATTGCCTCTCTGTTGTTCCTTATGAGCTTTTTCGCAATTTCATATGCGTTTTCTATAATAAGTCTCACTGATTTATCAATGTCTTCAGCAAGTTTCTCCGACATTTGATTTCTAGCTAACATTCGTAATACCACGTCACTACTCTGCACGCCTTGATCAATCAATGCCCATGGGCCAATCTCAGACATTCCATATGTAATTACCATCTGATGTAGAAAACAGAAAATCTTAAAATTAGCAAATGAACCATGTTATTTTATGGTACAAAGCAATTTCTTTCATTATAAGTACCTGTCTAGCTATTTGAGTTATTTGTTGCAAGTCTCCTGCTGCACCAGTTGTGATTTCTGCATCACCAAATATTACTTCCTCGGTTGCCCTGCCTCCCAGGCCTCCCACGATTCTTGCAAACAATTGTTTCTTGGAGATCAATGTCAGATCTTCACCAGATATGAACCATGTTAGACCTCGAGCTTGTCCTCGAGGGATCAATGTAACTTTTTGTACTGGATAGTGCCCCGGGGTCAAACTCCTGTGAACATGAAAATCATAATAAGATTATGCTATTGTTCTAGCTTAATGCACTGTAACAATCATGATGAGTCGAGCTTCTTCGCTGTAAAGAATCAACTTACGCACAAACTGCATGTCCAATTTCGTGATAAGCAACTAAGATCTTGTTCTTTCCCTCTGTCATCTTGGTTCCTTCCATTCCTGCTACAATCCGGTCGATTGAATCATCTATTTCTTGCAACGTAATTTTAGGTTTGCCTCTTCGACCAGCTAGAATTGCAGCCTCATTCATAAGGTTTGCTAAATCTGCACCACTAAATCCGGGAGTTCGCATGGCAATAACAGTAAGATCAACATCCTTGTCTAGTTTCTTGGTTTTACTATGAACCCTTAGTATTTCGTCCCTCCCTTTAACATCTGGTAATCCTACTGTAACCTGTGCTTGACATTTGACAACATTAAACCCATAATCACGTCCATAAGATTAATGTTCCAAACATTTTATTTATCTCCACAAACAAAAGGTGGAATATTTACAACGACTAACCTGTCTGTCAAACCTTCCTGGTCTAAGCAGTGCAGCGTCAAGAATTTCTGGTCTGTTAGTAGCAGCAATGACAATCACTCCAGTGTTTTCGGTAAAACCATCCATTTCTGTCAGCAATTGATTAAGTGTTTGTTCCCTTTCATCATTTCCTCCACCAATGCCAGTTCCTCTCTGCCTTCCAACAGCATCTATCTCGTCGATAAACACCAGGCAAGGGGAATTTGTCTTCGCCTTGTTAAACAAGTCCCTTACTCTAGATGCTCCCACCCCGACAAACATTTCAATAAACTCAGACCCTGACAGAGAAAAGAAAGGGACCCCTGCTTCTCCAGCTATCGCTTTAGCCAGCAACGTCTTCCCAGTTCCCGGTGGTCCAACTAAAAGCACTCCTTTTGGAATTCTTGCCCCTACTGCAGCAAACTTTTCCGGGGTCTTCAAGAACTCAACAATTTCCTGAAAATCTTGCTTCGCTTCATCAATTCCAGCTACATCATCAAATGTTACTCCGGTGTTGGGTTCCATCTGAAATTTAGCTTTGCTCCTGCAAGTATATAATTAGTCATACACTGAATATCATATGTCGAAAAGAAATTCCCATATGTCCAAAGTAATTATGCTAAAAATACCTTCCTAATCCAAAAGGTAAATTAGGGCCTCCAGGAGTATTAGGAGACGAACTTCGCAGAAGTACATAGCCTAAAAGTATCAATGGAAAAGCCAAGTTTCCAAGCAAATCAAGAAGGGAAGCTGTCATATTAATTTCCATTGGATGCGCAGCAAAATCCACATCCTTTTCTTTGAATTTCCTCAAGAGTTCTTGCGGCAATCCAGGTAACTGAATCTTGACCCTCTGGATTTTGTTCAGTGCAGGATTGTATATCTCAGCGATTGCCACAGTCCCGTTCTCAAACAAATCTACTTTGTTGACAGCACCTTGATCCAAGTATTCCAAAAATCTTGAATATGACATTCTACTTGATGTGGCTTCGGCCGGGCTCTCCGGTTCAGATGCTCTTGCACTTGCAGGCTGAACTAGAGCCCCTCCGAAAACTTCCACTCCAGTAATGTTTAACAGTTTTCTTCTGCTAAATTTGGCATCTGGCGGCGTTTTTTGTAACGGATTAGTTTCTCTACAGAGGTATGGGTTTGATTTCGTATGGTGATCATCTTTCGGAAGGTCTTGAAATTTGCGGATGGGTAGATAGGAGGCAGATAAAGAAACAGCAGGGTACATTTTCTTGCTGCAACCAAAATCTAAACTGATTAGTAGAATGTAAAATGGCAGTTTGAAGTGTACTATGATTTGGTCAATTTTGGAGGGAATGTTAGGAAACTGCAGTTTAAATAGGATAAGAATGAGATGTTTCTAGTTATCATAATTTCATGAAGGATCTAGAGTATGAATATGAGTTCATGCATATGATTGGCAGACATAATCAGATTTTTTCTGTGACCATACATTTGGAAAAATTAAGGTCTTTCGTTGTGACACCTGTATGGACAATGATTCTAGTTCGTGTTAGAATTTTTTGTCGATCATCAGTCTAATCAAATTTTAGTTTTGTTATTTTTTAAAAAATTCAAAAGTTATTATAGTCTTCTTTTCAATTAGAAATCTGTGTATTGAAATGCAAGTATTCGATTTTAAGGGCATCTCTATAGGATCCATCCTGAAATTTTGGGGGCTTCTACCCAACCTTTCGAACGAGCCTTTGATATAGTTAAAAATGGGCTGAAAACCCTGCAAAAATTTTCCTAATTGTTCCTGTGAAAATTTAAATTTAAAATTTAAAATTGTTCCTTCCCACTACATGGGCTTATCACATGGCTCAAGCGTTATTAAAAGGGAAATTACAAAAAATCGGTATTTAAAGATTAATTTTTAAAAATCAGGTCTACAATTTATTTATTTAAAAATCAAGTACTATATTAAAACCCTAATTCATAACCTAATTTATCTCTCATCCCTCTCTCTCTCTCTCTCTCTCTCTCTCTCTCGCCTCCATCATCTTCCCTTCTCCCTCCTTCCCCTAGCCTCTCTCCCTAGCCTCTCTCTGCGTTCGACGCTCCTACCGGCAGCTTCGCGATGACGCTGCTCAGTTCGCGGCAACGTCGCGACGCTATCGTTCGCACATCAGAGTCGCTGCACAGCGTTCAGTCACAGTGGTGGTGGGTGTGTGTGCATGTGGGTGGTGTTGGTGTGGTTGTGGGTTAACGGTGAAGTGATGGTGGTGCAGTTGATCTAGGTAGGACGGCGGTGGTGGTTGTTGGCAGTGGTGATTTAGGTGGTGTTGGTGAGGTTGTGTGATGATGGTGGTGCGGTGGATCTAGGTAGGATAGGTAGGACGTGCGGCGGTGGTGATGGTAGCGACGTGCTCGTGTTGGCAGTGGTGACTCTGGATTGGGCTGGGGGGGTACTCTGGGTGTTTACAGTTGGACAGTTGTTAATGGTGGTGGCGGCAGCGATGACGGTGAGGTGGTGGTGAACCATTAAATAGTTAATATGTGAGTAGTTGGTGGTGGAGGTTGTTGTTCGTAGATTGGATCTAGGAGTTGGGAACTTTTTTCAGATCGATGCCGTGAGATAGTGCGTGTTGTGGGTGCAGTGGTGGTGGCACTGTCGGTGTGCGGTGGTATTTACTTGATGTGGTGGGTTGACAATGGTGGTGGCAGTCGACGGTGGTGCAGGTGGAGGATCTTGTGATTTTGGTTTTTTGCGACTAAAAATATAATCCGTGACCTTAAGATTCTATAATCTGTGATCGTGAAAAAATCTGTGACCAACTAATTTAAAAATATGTAACTGTGTGGCCTATAAATTTTGATCTGTGACCAACGAATTAATTGTGACCTAGAAAATTTTTGAACTGTGGCCGTAAAATGATCTGTGACATATAAAAATTATTATTTGTGATTGAAAAATAATATGTGACTATCTAAATTGTGAATATGTGACCATATTGTATAAATTGCCCGAATCGGAGCAGTAGGGTGGTGGAGGTGGAGGTGGAGGTGGAAGTAGGGTGGGTGGGTGGGTGGGTTAATTATATTATATTGCAATTAAATATTCAATTAATTAATAAATATCTGATTTTTGCAATTTTGAAACTTAACACCGGATTTTTACAATGGTCAAAGTTAATACCTGATTTTTGAAATATTCCCTTTTTAAAAGGCCTATCCACCAAATGGATTTAAAAGGTATTTTTAACAGATCCACTTAGGGATGACAAAAAAGTTCATCGACTCGGGCGACTCGGACTTGGCCCAAAAACAGCCCGAGCCGGGCAGGTCCGTACGAGCCAGCCCGTTAAAAAAAATTAATTTTTTTTTTTTAAAAAAAATCTTGCAGCTACCTGCAAATAATCGGACCCATTTTGCTCAAGTCGAGCTTGAGCTTCGAGTTTCGACTCATTGACATGGCTAGACCCACTCATTCCACAATATTTTTAAAAGAGAAAATTACACCCACTTTTTTTAATTTATAAATTCAAAAATAAAGTTTAAAAGTTTTTTATTCAAAAATCGAGTGATAATTCAAAATGTTAATATTAATAATACAGTTATAAAATTAAATTTATCTACATATCCACCCTACCCATCTATCCCACCAAATTTGACTCTCAAATCCTAATCATTTCTCTTCTCTTCTCTATCTTCCTCTCCCTTCTCTCTCTTCCGTCTCCCTTCTCCCTATCCTCTCCATCCCGTCGAAAGACCACCACCGACGAGTGCACTACACAGCGACGAGCACTGCTGTGAGAGTGTCTCGGTACTCACATCGTTGCACAACAACACTATAAATACTATGCACCACAACTGCGCGGCACTCCCAACTATGTGTGCAGAAGTGATGAAGTTTTGGGTGTAGTCCTTGGTTTAGTTACTTCCTCCTCTACTTTGCTGTTTAGCGGAGTTTTGGGATGATTTTTATTGGTGGTGATGGCGAGGAGGTGATGGTGCTCGCGATTGTGGTGTGGTGGGGTGTTATTGGGACGATGATGGTGGTGGTGGTGTAGGCGGTAATGGTTCTAGCGATGGCAATAAGGTGGCACAATGTTTGATTGGTGTCGGTGAGATAGAGTGGGATGAAAAGTGTTTGTAATCAATTATTTGGATGATTGTGACCAATAAAATGTTAATCTGTAACAATAAATAATATATGATTGATAAAATAGATAATTTGTGATCAATAAATAATATATAACCTGAGAAAATGTAAAATTACGACTAAGTTTGAAATCGTGACTCGCAATTTGTTAAGTTGTGACAAATTAAGTGGATAATTTGTGACTATAAAATAAGTTATAGCTATAAATTTTGTAATTTGTGAGTGAGAAATAATACGTGGTATATTAATTTGAAAATTTGTTACCCATAAATAAGTTGTGAACTATAAAATTGGTGATTTCTGGTCGACATATGATACATAACCAATTAATTTGATAATTTATGATCGATAAATAAGTTGTGATCCATAAAATTTGTGATTTGTCACCGTGACATTAAGTGATTATGACTAGTATGTTGTGACCATAAATTGTATAATATAGTGACATTAATATATTTAATTAATAAAATAATTTTAATTATCTATTTAATTAATAAAATTTAATTATGTCCTGATTTTTCAAATTTTAAAATAAATTTCTTAATTTTGAAATTGTATCTTTTAATGTATTCAAACGCATCAATGGACTACATGAGAATGATGGTGATGGCGAGGCCCTTGGCGCTGCTGGAATTGCATTTTGTTCGATTTGGTTATTAGTAGCATCCTCCCAAGGCATTAGTTTAATAGGAAAACAAGGCTCTTTGATTAAGTCAATTCAGGAGAGCACCGGTGCTTCTATCCGCATCCTTTCCAATGGTATTTTAACATCTTCCAACTGACCAAGTGTCATTGGTTGTATCATATGTGATGTTACCTTCTTATCCCCTGGAGTGGGTTTACACTTTAAATTGTTGTTTCCTGTTTTGTTAAAAAAATTCATATTGTTTCATTAGTTTTGACAGAAGAACCATGAGAACATTGTGTGCGTGCATGTGCTCATGATTTTTTGTTTTTTGACAAAAAATTTCGTTTTGTTTCCATAAACCAGGGAGTTACTTCAATTCAGCCCTCATGTTGTGAAGCAAAAACATAAACAAGGAAGATAATCTAACAGGCATAGATTGATCTCTTAGGAATTTTGCTAATAAATTAACTGTCTCAATTGAACTTTAGAGCGATCTAAATTTGAACTATCATTTTTTTTTTTAAATACTTCTTTTAAGTAATTTGATCCGACCGGATTTGGTGCACAGAAGAATTATACGAAAATAATGCAAAACAGGGGACATTAATGTGTCCATGGCTGTTTTGCTTGAGATGATGTTCACTATGAAGATTTATTACACGATACTTCGTAATTGTTGCTGCAGATGAAATTTTGAATACTCACAAGTCACAACGTGAAAGCTTGAGATACATCTAAAATGAATATTTCACAATGGGATAGTGGACACTGTATTATCATGCTCAATATTATTAGAGCATACATTTTTTGAAATTATATCAGAATACTTTGTAAAATTCCCTGCACTAACAAATTGAAAAATGAGCAGCTTCTTGTGAATTTGGCTACTAAGTCGTCGTTGGACATTTTTCTTTCATGTCACTCTAAAATGGACCGTCAACACTTTCTGTCGAGAACATTTTTTTTTTGTTCAGGATCTATTGATGAAATTCTTTTTGTTGTATTCAGGAAATGTTATGCTGTATAAGATTTGAAGAGCAACTAATTATACCTCTACTAGGTAGAAAATGGCTTTGAAATGTCCATTATTTCTCAGCTGGCGTTCATGAAAATGCAAGTTGATAAGCTACAAATAATTGAAGTATTGTTGTATTTTTGGGTTGGGTGTTGAATTTGGTTCTTGACAGTGATTTTCCATATGTAACATCAAATTTTATATAGAATTTGCACGCCTTTTCATGTTAATACTGAAAATGAGTTTTGAAATAGTAAATTTTTGTTTTGCAATTTAAATTTTACCGACAGGATTTGCATGCTATTTGACCCTAGTTTGATGTCCATTATTCATGAAAATGAGTTTTGAAATAGTAAATTTTTGGAGGTTGTGTAGTTAAAAAATAGGAAATTTTTTTTGAGTTTATGTACAAAATAAATAAATAACTGTAACAAAAAGTTAAATACAATGAATACCAAATCATCGAATTAAAAATATAAA